AGCCACAAGTCATCTCCGGCAAAATAATACTGCAGGCTCAAGAGAGCTGAGATGTTAAGAACGGGGGAGAAATAAGCTCGGGGGTCCGTGTAGTTTCTCCCCGCGAAGCAGCCGCCGGGGCTCTGAGCATCGCACGCACACCGCAGGCACAAACGCACGTGCACGTGGCACTGCCCGCAGCGCAGTCGAGACGCGGGGTCATAAAGGAGTGTCTTTGCGACTTTGAAAAGAGAGCGGGCTGTTGAAACTCCAGAAATGCCAAGTCTCTAACATTCCTAAAAAAAAAAATGATTTCACGCTCCGGATCCCCTTCGAATGGTCACGATGAGAACAATCGTCTCAAATAATATTCGAATATTTACGTCTGTCGTCTGTGGTCACCCTCGTGCGTTCGATGTTTACAGTCTACAGGGGAAAATAAAAACGTTCACCCATAACTAGAACGCACTGCGGAATTACGAAGGACTATAAAAGTCCTAACAAACAAACAAACAAACAAGAAAACTGTGCCAGGAGCATAAGAGGGTGGGAAGAGCCGGTTTGGGTTTTGGGAGAAGGCATCGCGCATTCAGGAAACAGGGTTTGGACTGGGGCCCCTAAGGCGTGTGGCGTTTCGATCGTCAGTGACAGGGCATGGGTGCCATGGGAAGATGTCTAAGACATAGAAAGCGGTCCGCACCGAAAGCCCGCTGGTGGCAATGGCTTGTTTTCATGTCCCCGTAAATATAAATTTGACCATGCGGAAACGCTTGTAAAAGATATTTTCAGCGGTCTCTTGCGGCCCATGTAATTTTTAAGAGTCCACTCTCCTAACTTTTCAAATTATGGTTTAAAATTCATTTGTTTCTAGTGGAACTCGCAAAGGTTTTGAATTTCGAATGAAATGTACTTCAAAATCTACACGTTGAATACATTTGTGCCATATTTATTACAAGCAGAGTCAACGATTTCGGTGGAAACGATACGAAGTTAAAATTTTCGACAGCTGCAAATCTTTTTCTAATCGCAATACCTTAACGTGTCTCTGGTCCATTGCGATTATAATTATTATTGTGCTTACAACTGCTTCAGTAACACTTTGTCTAGATAGATGACGTTGCTCGCTGTCTCAAGTATCTCAGAAACGTAGCTGAGAAAGATGGGAGAAAAATATGACTTCTAAAAATTTTAAGTGGAAGTATACGACATTCACGGATTAAAACTCCCATGAGCTTTATTCAGAGTCCCATTCAGAATCTATCTTACTTTTAGATCTCTTTACTCAGCTATTTCTTTTTAAACAAAGAATCATGAATATCGCAGGGTCACGATCTCACAATTCAGTTTAACAGATATTTATTGAGAATCTGGGCTAGTCGTCGAAGATAGAAAAACAGGACTAAGACACGAACGGTGGCCCGAGGTGCTCGAAGTCTTAGGAGAGAAAGATACCCGAAGACAATTAAGGACAACGTCAGGGAGGCAGCCCCTGAATTGCGTAAAAGCTTCGGACATGGTCCTAAGCATGGGGCAATGGAAGTGGGGGAGTCTGACCCCAGTTTCTTAGCTCACAGCAACTGCAAAACGGATGAGAGTGAACAGTATATTCATGAGCGAGACTGTAAGAAATAAATGCTGATAACTGGAGAGAGATTAAAAGGAGATAATAGGCCTAAACTGGTAATTCGAAAAAAGGACCCGCAAATAGCTAATAAACAGCAACAACGATAGAGATGCAACTTCACATGTCAAGACAGGTGATGAGATGTCTTCTCTTGGCCTATCCCCTTATCAGACGCTCGGAAACTCGAACGTACAGAGTAAGCAGGATGCTTAATTCGAAAAAAGGACCCACGAATAGCTAATAAACAGCAACAACAATAGAGACGCAACTTCACATGTCAAGACAGGTAGACAGGGAGAGATGACCTCTCTTGGCCTATCCCCTTATCAGACACTCGGAAACTCGAACGTACAGAGTAAGCAGGATGCTATGCGAGGGCTGGCTCCCCTCTGGCTGGTGACAGTAGATTGGTACACAATAGGAACTGTGGCTGATTTGAGGAGACAACATAAAAAGTGTAAATAATAAAGTTAATCTGATATGTGGAATCTATGATCTTACACTGGATAGTTATCTCTTTCAATCAACTCTAACCGAGCCTTAAAAAATGTGCCACGCACGTGTTTTTCATGATCGACAAGCTCTCCAGGCTGTGGTGTTATTACCGTGATCATTCTGAGTACGCTTGGAGAGCTCTGACAGTGCCCATCAGCAAAGGGCCAGTGCAGCGGGACTGGACAGGGTGTCCTCTTCGCTAAGCCATTGTGACCAAAGTCATTCCCCAGACGTGAATGCACACACAGAACCCTCTGTCGGGCAGCTCTCAGGGACTCTGAACTCGGGATTTTGTGATAAGCCTCTCAAACATTGTTCTCATTATTCACTTAGCTCCTTGCCCTTCTCCGTGATCTAGTAGGTTTGGCAGGGGTGGCCCTGGATTCGTTCATTTCTTCCTCCTGCACCCAGACTGAACACCACAGCTACAGGAGCCTGTCTACCGCAAGAGGAAGAACCGAATCCAAATCCGTCAATGCCCGACTGATGGGCAGCTCACGGAAAAGTTACCAGCTTCGTGATCTAATTTTAAAAGGCAAGGAAATACGAAAGCATAGTGAGAGTTAGCTCTCATGTGCCTCGTAGCCAAGGGAGACGAGGGCACGTATTCTGAGTGGTATTTCACTTCGGATGGTTTTCTGCCCTTGCACTTTGCCTTATTGTTTGATTTGTTGAAAAATCTTTGATAAGCATGAATACGTTTATCAACAGAAAACTAAAGCATTTTCATTTTTAAAGTAAATATGTATTGTCATCAGTTGTTGACGTTATGCTTTTCTTTATTTGGCGACCATTTAAGCTCGAAAAGCCCTTTGGCCCGAAAGCCCATTAGAAGGTAATCTAATCTAAGTGTGGTCGCGATGCTGGCGACTCAGGAACTGCATTTTGACAACGTCCGCGACAGATTCATAAACGCGTAAGGTCTGAGACGTGCTCGTTCTAGTCCAAGTCTCTCACCTTTCAGGGGACATAGCTTGTCCCGGGTGACACGGTGAATGGGGATAGAGCTGAAGCGAAGACTCACCTTTCGATGATTCCTACCTCGGAATTCTTCCCGCTGCTTTCCCCAGGCTTTCGGATGAAAAGCAAGTCGGAAAGAAATCTACTGGCAGAAAACTGTGAAAAAGAGAATTTCTACGGAAACTCACGCTCATTTTTCTAAGCGTAGTTATTAAAAGCTCATCTGTACGCCATGCATTCGAGTTTATACATTGTCGGTTTCATCCCAAACAAGTTTAACCTTGGAATTTGGCGACTATCAGACCGAAGTTGGCAAAAAAGCATATGGCATCTTTTCTCCGTGATCACTCATTTTATCTTGGTTTTAAGTCAAAGCTGAGCCTAGTTCAATAAATCTTACCTTTGTGACTGGTTCGCAAGAGATGGCAGAGTCCTGAGTCTTTCCGTAGGTTTTCGGAGCCTCAGCTTCCTCGGACGTGAAGTTCATGGGTTGAGACGTTTACACGGGACGGTATATGCAAAGCACAGGAAAG